GGCAGTTAAGCGGATCCTTCGATATGTTAAAGCCACATACAATCATGGTCTTGTGTATAAACCTGGTACTGCACAACTTACAGCATATTCTGATGCTGATTACGCTGGGAATCCTGATACAAGGCATTCCACAGGTGGTTTTTGCATTTACTTAGGGTCCAATCTCGTGTCTTGGAGTTCAAAAAAGCAGAAAACTGTCAGTAGGTCAAGTTCCGAAGCTGAATATCGGCAGCTTGCTTATACTGCTGCAGAAGTATCATGGTTCCGCTCTTTATTTCGTGACTTACACTTGCATCTTGATCGACCAACAATCTGGTGTGACAATGTCTCCTCCATTGCCCTTGCTTCAAATCCAGTTTTTCACTCCCGTACCAAACACTTGGAAGTGGATTATCATTATGTTCGTGAGAAAGTGGTTCGTCAAGAGTTATTTGTGAATTTCATATGTTCTCAAGACCAGATTGCTGATATATTTACAAAAGGATTGTCTTCTTCACGGTTCAAGAATCTTGTTTCCAAGCTTCCAGTTGTTTCTCCTCCTGTCAGCTTGCGGGGGGCTGTTAGACCAAATACCATATTGCATTCCACATGTGCTGCTGTCAGGGAATATTGCAGAGTTGATGGAGCAGATGCTTAATGGAGCAGATGCTTGCTGTCAGGGAATGTGCAGTTGATGGAGCAGACGCATGCTGTCCATGCTGCAACACAGCAGATTTTTATTATTGATGTGCTGCTGCATGTGTGGAGTGCAGGCGTGCTGATTGATGGGCTGCTGCATAAATACCATATTGTATTCCACATGTGCTGCTGTCAGGGAATATTGCAGTCCTTGTATTTTTAAACTGTAAAGTGTGTTTGTTGTAGTATATATAACAAAGCCTTCCCATAAGGCTTTGCTGTGGTGAATTATTTTATACAAATCAGAAATTCTTTCAGAGACATCTTATGCATCAGCCTGATGGTAATGCCATCCTTCGTCTTCCTGACGGAGGAACTTGGTGTGTTAAACTCAAATTATATGAAAAAGGGAAAGTGCGATTCCAGCGTGGTTGGTTGGAATTTGTAAGGGACAATAATTTGAAGACTGGAGATGTGTGCGTATTCATCTTGATCAAGGGCGTTGAACTTGCATTTGAAGTTGTCTTTTACCGCGGTATTGTCTCCAGGTTTACATGTAATAAGTTGTTATATTCGATTTGTGCTCAGTTACGAATGCATAACTTACACATACGATTTGTTATTTTCTTTTTTATTGTTGGGAAGGCGGCCATGCCAAAGGAGCTAGAGCTACGGATCGGGGAAAGTGGGAAATTGGCACATCTAGCTCTCACGATCCTTATGCTGGAAAAGAATGCAGTGGAGGCCTGAATTTGGAAACTGGTTATGAAGACCATGATGATAAATCTGTCGAAATCCTGGATGATCTGTGCCCGAGAAAATCAAGGGATAAATCACAAGTAATGCGCAAGTTGGAAGAAACTGATAAACATGATGATGATATTAGTAGAGATTCTGATGAAGTACAAAGTGATCCAACAATACCTGAGGAGGAAGAAACAGATTATGAAGATGATGAGTCAGTCGAAATCTTGGATGACTTTTCACCCTGCCCAAGAAAAGCAAGGGAGAAATCTCCATTACCATGTCTTCGGCGACACAAGAAAATGAGAACATGTTCGAGTAGTAAAGCAGCAGAATGCAACACCAGCTTCACAGCAACAAAGACTCAACCTTATGAAATCAAGAAGTCATTCAGAAGCAAAGATTCGCATTGCTCTAAATCAGAAGTGAAAAGTAAGGAATGTATATTTAGTTTTATTTTTATCTTTTACCTTGTTCTGCCTTCCTACCAAAAAAAATTAAGATGCCACTTTATGTTTCTTGTAATATCTGATAGGAGAACATGATTTTCCCACAATGAAAGAAGTTGGAGGCTTGTCTAGCAGTCCAATATTCCAAAAACGAACACCTGATGTTCTGGGGAGGGAACATGCATTGACCAAAAGCGAAAAAGCTCTGGCTCTTCAGAGAGCCAATGCTTTCAAATCTGCATACCCTTCATTTCCGGTTGCCATTCAACCAGCTTATATCCATAGTAGTTACCTGGTATGTTTTATGTACAACACATTCTGCGTGAAAAAGATTAAGCACATACGTTTCCCTCTCAAAGAGCAGAATCACAATAGTCTCTCATAAAAAACTTTCTTATTGTCTTTCCTGGTCTCTGTTTCATTTTAGGGTTTGCCATCCGAGTTTGTGAGGACATATCTTAACAAGCAGCGTTCAAGTAACGTAATCCTTCAGATTTTAGATGGAAGCACCTGGCCAGTTAATTTCAAATATGATGTAACACCTCGATTTCAGAATGGTTGGTCGGTGTTTGCAAGGGAAAACAACTTGAAAGTTGGTGATTTATGTGTTTTTGAATTGATCAACCGCAATGAACTTACATTTGAAGTTGTCTTTTTCCGCGCCACAGAAGCTAAAAAGTGCTCCTCGTCAGCAGGTAAATCTGTTCATTTGCTAGTGTATACTTCTCCATTATGCTTGCATCATAACTTAGATTCTAGTATTTCTTTGTAATTTTTGGGGAATCCAGACCATGGAGGAGGAGCAATTGATCAAGTTGAAATAAAGAGAAGGTCCAGATGTAAAGTCAAATCGGGTTGTGAAAATGGTGTGTTGCACTCTTGATCCTTAATTTACTTGAAATTTTCAAGTCCACAAAAGTGAAAAATGCAGAAAATTTTGGTACTCAGATTATATTTTGTATGTTTTACTGTAGGAGAGTACACAAAGTTAAAGATTTCTGATCAGGTTACTCAAACGCCTTCATGTTTGAAGGCTTCAAGGGTTCTTGAAGCTGCCAACAATTTCATCCCATAAAAATCCTTTCTTTAGAGCCACTTTGGGGCCAACATCCAAGGCAATGGTAGTAGGATCATTGACATAACATTGCTTCGAACATAAATACTCCAACCTAATTACTTGTGCACGTATGTGTATATATGTTGTGTATGCACTATGCACGAATTATGTTCACTATTTATTATTCATATTTTGCAGTATGTACCATTGAAGTTTGCCATGAGATTCCCCCTACGAAAGGCGCAAACCGCGACCCTTCAGGTCGGAGAGCGATTCTGGCCTGTGAATTTGATTGGTTACACTAATGAGAGGAGACAAATGATCATTTCTGGTGGATGGCTTGCATTTGCGGAGGAAAATAGTTTGAGAACAGGAGATGTATGCACATTTGAACTCGTCGAGACAAATGACATTGTGCTGAAAGTTAACATTTTCAGAAGTTGATTAGGCAAAGTTCTTAATTTCTTTTAAGTGGGATGAAAGACCTCAGGTACCAACCACATTTTGCAGTCGAAATAGACCACTTTTTGCTGTAGTTAGAAAGGTCTATGGATACCTGGGATCACTCTGTATTTTGCTATGTTAACTTTTGTGCTTTAAATATTTTTGACCTTACAATCCTGGGGTTTTATTCAAGGTGCAACTTCCTATGATTGTGATGTATAAATCATCTTTTAAACAAAAAGTTTATTTGTGTCGTGAATGCAACTATTAATTAGAAATGCAATCGTGTAACTTTAAAGTAGAATCCCAATAAGATTTGGAGACTAAGGCCGTGTTTGGTACACAGTATAAGGAATCGGATATGACTAATAGTACAGACTAGGTTGTTTGGTGTCATTTCGTACTAAATAGTCGCCGGATTAATTTAAGCAGTCAGATAGGATAGTCGGGTATATACTTCGTAACAAACCATTCGAAAGAAATCAGATAACATTGTTTTTGTTTTCCATGTTTCTGTTGTGCAGATGATTCCAAAAAATATTTTGAGGGAATACAATAATGATCTATCAAGCAGAGTATACCTTAAGCTTCCAAGTGGCTCAGAATGGAAGATAGAAATGACATAATAAGAAATGAACCAACAAAAAATGTAAGCAAATATAACCATAAGCAATTTCTAATATATTGCTGTTGGGGTTTCTCAACCTATGTGACATTTTTGTAAATTCCATCTTTTGTTGAACTATTAACCCTTTTGTTTAACCAAAAAATTAAACATAGTAAAATACGTAAGAGGAATGCTAACGCATGTTTCCTTTATTCCGCCAAAATATGTTTCTCTTTTGTTGAACTATTAGCCCTTTTGTAAGGAGATTTTTTCAAAAGTATAACTTTTTATGGACTTTTTGCTACCTCATAGTTTAACGTCAATTCTCATGTCAACATTATAAAACATTGTATCAAAAATATAAGGTAACAGAGAATCTATAGAGGTAATTTTTCAATATGTAAAGGTAATTTCAAAGAATAAAAACCACAAAGGAAACCTTTTTTTTTTTTTTACAACGATATTATCTACACTAATGGGGAGGAGGGTGAGCTTAGTCTCGTGGCTCAAATTTATCTTTGACGCGAACTTAAGATCTCTTACTTATAAATAAAAATAAATACTACTAAACTGTAGTATTAAGTGAAGAGAATTTTCTCACCTACTCGAAACCACCGTTACTTTTTAGGCAGACCACCGTTGCTTTTTGGGGAACGTAAATTCGCAAAAAGAGGAGAGTACTTTCTCTCCACCATTATTCCTCCGTTTTCAGAAGAGAGAGAAGTGAAAGAAAACGAAAATTCAAAATGGCAAGAAGATCAAGAAGAAAACCCTCCTTTTTCAAGGTTCTTTTAGATGAATTTTCTAGCCAGTTGGAACGTCTACCTCCTATTTATACTCTATTATATGCTTCACATAAAAATCACCGTTGTTTTCTTCATATTTTGTCTTTTGGAGTCTAATTATTTGGTTATGTAAAGGGAGTCTTAAACCTTCCAAAGTCTCTTAAACCCTGAAGAGAAATTTCAGTAAGGTTGTTTGCTAACGTCAGCTCATAGGCCTCATCCTTTAGTGAGAGGCGTCCTATATATGCGTGCACCCCTTAAACCCTACCTCTTCATTGAAGGCAGACTAAAATCCCAAGAATATGTAATTGGTAAAGTTATTGAATTGTTTATGCTATAAGAAATCCCCCCTTCAAATGAATTTCATTGTCACTCTTTGGGCATAAATTTCTATCTGTGATAAAAATATGTACTTGATGACTACATCACATATTTATCATAGCTCTTTGCTTAGAACTTCTAATGCATTCCAGTCTTCAACGTTTACATTGTAGATTGATAATCTACATCCGAGTCTTTTGGTACCGCAAATCCCGGCGGCTTTTCTCATGCATTTTAATGGAAACGTACCTCAGCAGTTCCACGTTCGAACCTCAGCTGGGACTTGGTGTGTTAATGTGGAAAAAATTAATGACAGGTTCTTTTTCCAAAAGGGTTGGAAGAAATTTGTTCATGACACTGGTTTAGAGATTTGTGAATTCTTTCTTTTTCGATATGCCTTTAATTTGAGATTCTACGTTGACATATATGGAAGAAATGGCTGCAAAAAAGAGTTTGTAACAGTCACTGGGAAAACCGAGAGACCACATGAAAAGGGACATGATCATGTAATTCAGAGAAAGACCCCAAGAAATCATGAAAATCAGAATGTAGATAATCGAGGCCTAAAAGGCTCCACTTATGGAACTAGGACTAGTCAAGTAACTACTCCCATACAAGATGAAGGCTATGAAGCAACTGATGATACTGATTCTCAAACATTGATGCATCCGCGGTGGCTACAAGTACTGGGAAAGCTTATTCCCGTCGGAGAGACAATGTTTTTGGATCTGAAAACCCTTTTTTCAAGGTTGAAATGCGGGACACATATATCCATAGATGTTACTTGGTAAGCTTTTTTTATGGAAACAACCGTTGGAGGCCATTACAACTTCTAACTTCTATTTACATACGTCTATGTGGAACTGAAAAGAATTGAGCAATGATATTTTTAGATATAAAGTTAAATCACTATTATTCTCTCCTTAAATTTTATTAGTCTCTCATGTTTTCCTTTTTATTTTTCATCTTTTCAGACCGTGCCTTCTAAATTTGTTAATGCACATCTCATTGAGCAGCCTAGTACCATTACCCTTCGGGTTTCAGATGGGAGAACTTGGCGAGTGAAAGTGGGATTTCAAACAAGAGGGTGCCAATTCTTAGCTGGTTGGATCACATTTGTGCGAGACAATGAGTTAGATGTTGGCGATGTGTGTGTCTTTGTCTTGATTAACAAGTTTGAATTTTTATTTGAAGCTGTCTTTTACCACAAGGAAGAAGCTGAAAATCATCACATCTCGTCACCAGCAGGTAAGTAATCTGCTAAGTTTATCAATTTCTGTTCTCTGTCTGCCCTCTGCATAACATACACTTGTTTTCTTCTTTCTTTTTCGTTTTGGGAAGACAATCCACTTCAGAGAGCCAACGGTTTCAATTCTGCAAACCCTTTGTTCAAAGTTGTAATGCCGCACTCGTCTATCCATCACCGTAATATGGTAAGATTTCTATAGAAAACCCTGCTGACCCATCGCAAGTTCTACTAACTTCTATTTGTACCCGTTTGAACAGAAGTAAGCAATGACACATTCACAGAACAAACAAAATCATACGTGTATATATACACACACACACATAATATATTCACATCATGAATTTTATGTTGTCATTCATACTTTCCGTTTTTCCTTTCCTCTTCCAGTGTGTGCCATATAAGTTTGTCAAGACACATCTCGCTGACCACCCTAGTAACCTTACCCTTTGTGTTTCGGATGGGAGAACTTGGCCTGTCAATTTGGTATATGAAGGTCCAAAAGGCAGATTCATAGGCGGGTGGTCGGCATTTAGGCAAGACAATGATTTGAAACTTGATGATGTTTGTGTCTTTGTCTTGGTTAACAAGGTTGAGCTATTTGAAGTTGCCTTTTACCGCAAGCCAGAAGCTGCGAATATTTGCGCCTTGTGACCAGGTAAGCGATGTATTATGTTGTGAGTTTCTGTTCCATTAGGTCTGCCTTCTTCATAACTTAAAGAGTCTTAGACATGTATTGTTCATTCATTTTTGTTTCGAGGAAGGAAAGCGATGACGGTGGATCAATTGGAGTCGAGAAACTGAAAGAGAAGCGTCGTAGTTGTAGATGAAGCTTCACCTCATCACACGCTTCTCCTGCAAAAGAAGCAGTGGAGGCCTCCAATTACTCATTTGTTTTTCTGAATACCTTTTTGCTGTACATGATGAGAGGATCCATTGGACAATGCAGTGACCCTTCTTTTTATTTCCACCTTAGATATATACTACCTATTATATTTAGGGTTCTAATAATTTTTTAACTTTTAAAATCAGAAATTTTCAAAATATTTTTTTATCAGAATAAGTTCATAACGCTTGGTTAAATTTCAGATAAAAAATTTAGAATTCAAAGAATCTGTAATTACATTCCATTTCCGGTCTAATTTTTTGCAAATATTATAATTCGAAAATTTCAATGTTGGAAATGAAAACACCATTTCAACTATCCACCGCTGTTAAATAAGTGTACCACCTCTAGAAAATAAAAAATTGATAAAGTATTCATAAGGTTCTAAAAAACCTAGGCGTAGTCGGACGGTGAACTAGAGCTTAGCGTCTAGGCGGCCTAAACGGATTTAAGTAAATTTAGTATTTATTATTTTAATATGTACATATTTACTCATAAAAACTATACTTCCATTTTCATTAGTTTTTAGTTCACAAAGAATGTTCTTTAATTAATAGGTAGTGTAATAAATAATTAATTGACAACTCTCATTAACAAATTGACTAGGGTTTATTTTGGACTTTACTATTTGGGTGGACAAGCCCATTAAAGTGATTGGAAGCCCATTAAATTTTCACTAAAAAAAACCAACTGACGACGTCGTTTAACCTTAGATTATTTTAAAAGGTTTCATCGTCTTCTTCTTCTCTTCTTGACCTGCTCAACCTTTTTTTACCCATATGGCTGAGAAGATGAAGTGGTGCAGCTCCAAAAACTTAGTTGATCTGCTGACGCCCAACGTCGCCTTGTCCTACCTAGCTCCTTGCCCCGCCTAACTGCCGGCTAGTGGGTGATCCAATTTTTATACAGATTAGGCCTTAATCGGAACGGCAACCAGTCGTGAAGCGCCTAGGGGGCCTAGGCTCTTTTTTAGTACACTGAGTATTCATAAAGGTGTATATAAGACATACATTCCTTCAAATGCCTAAAACACCAAACGCATAGTTGATGGTTCTGTATTTCTGACAATTCCCCTGCTTAGTAGAGAAAGAGCTGAACAGGAAGAAGAAAATTGGTGATGGCAAGATCAAGTGCAACAAGAGCACCCACTTTTTTCAAGATTCAAACCTGATAGCTTTGAGTTAACAGTATTTAGAGTATATATAGCAACCTTAAGGGATTCTTATTTTATTTTATTTTTATAAAAATAGAGATTAGCTGTAAGGTTAACACCACATCGAATTTTAATGATCCGAACCGTTCATTTTTCAAGTTGCACCTCATAGATCATTCTTGCAAAATATTAGCCAAATCGGAAATGTTTAAGACATCTAATTAAGTTCAAATAAATTAACGAATACTTTGTTATATAAGAAACAATGAAATTTTTTCTTGCAAAATATTAGCCAAATTGGAAATGTTTAATATATCTAATTGAGTTCAAAGAAATTAACGAATACTTTGTTATATAAGAAACAATGAAATTTTATCTTGATAATTAAATAGGTAAATGGATTCGGATTGAATTGAATTTCTGTAATGATAATTTATGAATAAAGACTTACAAAATAGACGGTTCAGATTCGATGTGGTGGGCCCCATACCGAATCCCCATTTTTAAAAAGAAAAATGGAAATCCCTTAGATATATATAGAGGTTTGCATGTTATGGATCTATAAAAACAAAACATATAGATGAATTCGATAAAAGGATCACGAACTGTCTATTTATTTGTTACAAAGGATTGAATAAGTAATCTTAATTTTAATTTTTTTTTTTTTTTTGAAAAAAAAATAACATTTTTATAGTAATCTGTAACATGAACGATTCCGATCATAAACACAATAGCTACGAAGTATTTTGAAGAGCAACTCCATTGCCCCTCATCATCTCTTTGTGAAATTGGGAATATTATCTCTCAATTTATTTATTTTTATAATGAAAAGAAGAGGAAAAAAAAAAAAAAAAAAGATCTCGGTCATCAGTATTTAAGTGGTTCTACGCTCCAAAACCCCAAACCCTCCACCACCGAAACCACGCCATCGCTTGGCGCGAAAATTAGCCCCAATTCATTAGAAACCTTAATTTTTCACAGTTAACTCTCATGCAATCTGCCTTCTACACGGCCTCCAGCTCCCACCAGTTTCAGCTTCCATGGAAAATCAACGAAACCCAATTCGCAGCTCAGAGACCAGTCCCCAACAAGCTCAAAACCTGCTTCAAAGCTCCGACCTTTTCCAATTCTCTAAGAACCTCAATTGGGTACGAACCAGAAGAAAGCCTGGTAAAGAACCCGTACCCGCCAGGCCAGGTCGGCTTCCGGTCGTGATTCGGAGGTCAGGTAGGGTTTCTAGGTACTTCTGGGATGGTAATTGTTTGCAGTTAGTTGGAGTAGATGGCGGTGCGGCGTCGTTCAGTTTCAATTTCGATGATGGGTTCAGAAAATTGTATAGAATCTGTAGTTTGGCTGTTAGGATTTCTTTATTCCTAAGCAAGTTAGTGGAAGTTATATGGATTATGTGAAATGGAAGTTCTTGCATCGGGTTTTCAGCTCGGCACTACAGGTCCTTGCCACTCAGGTACAAACTTATGTGATAAAAGTGCATCCTTTTTCGATTAATTGATTGAAATTTGAATGAAATATGACAAGCTCAACAGAAGGAGTACTATTATACAGAAAGAATAAGTGAAATAGTTGAGCATTATAATCCTTAGAAAATAGAATCAAAGATTTTATGAATGAATTTTCGTTTATATGGTTAGTTATACGTGGGGATGCACTGATTTAGGCAATGTTTCGGGCTATTGGGATTGGCTTCTCTCGTTCACTTCCAGCAGCTGCTGCCCTTAATTGGATCTTGAAGGATGGACTTGGACGGCTGAGTAGATGCATCTACACTGCTAGTCTAGCATCTGCTTTTGATACTAATTTGAAGGTAAGCTCTACTCTGTTATGGAACGGAATTTCCTTAATTGAGGTTGTTGCAGTTAGGGTCTATATCGGTATTTTGGTGTTTGAAACCAAAGTACTGTGGATATTGAGTGCTTATGCTTTAGAGTGATTTTATTAGCTACAAATACATCATTGATTTTGTCCTTTTCTCATTTGTAGAGAGTTCGGTTTTCAACGTCGGTGTTGTTTACTTTGAGCATTGGAGTTGAGTTGCTGACACCTGCAGTTCCTCAATACTTCTTGGTTCTAGCATCCTTAGCCAACATGGCAAAACAAATAAGTTTGGCTTGCTACCTAGCGACTGGTGTAAGAACTGAAACATGTTTCCTTGCTTACTTTTATGAGGTTGGGTTTTAGCGCCTTCCCATTTTGAGTGCCAGTGTTCTTTCCTTGTATAAGCAGTCTGCTGTTCATCGAAGTTTTGCAATAGCGGATAACCTTGGTGAGGTTTCTGCAAAGGCACAGGTAGACTATTATATTTCCTACAAATAAGTCCCTATTAGTTATCTATTGTGTACTTGAAAATTGAAACAGGACATATTTTGACTGTTGCAATGATTTTCAGATTCAAACAGTGTGCTTTGATAACCTTGGGCTTTTGCTTGCTGCGCTGTTAAATATGTTGTTCAAAAACAACCAAGGTTCCTTTTGAACTTCTATATATACAGAACTAATGATCTTTAGTTTACTTAACTTTTCTTCATATTTGATGTCTTCACTGTTATGATAGTCGATTCTTTTTCTTTGCATGCTTTTCTGACTTGTGATTTACGTGCCAGGTTGCAAACAGTCTTACCATTTCTCGTATACCCCATTTTCTCAGCCATAGACCTTTTGGGAATATATCAAGGGCTTAAACATGTCCATTTACAAACATTAACCAAGGTGACTGAGCATTTTCTCCTTCAGCATCCCGCACTGAAGTTTTCCTATGATAACAATTCTGATGTATATGCGTCTTACCCTTCAGAGGACTAAGGAAGTGAAATTTCGTGATAAATGCTGTAATTTCATCGTCTAATTTTTGTATGGTTCTCATGTTCAGGATAGACTTGAAATTCTACTAAATAATTGGATCGAGTTAGGTTATGTTCCTACGCCTGCAGAAGTAAGTAAAGAAGAAGGAATTGATTTCCTACGGAGCAAAGGTTAGATCTTTCATATGCATTTCTTATCCCCTTGTTTCAGTGTTTTATATAAGCACATATAAGCTTAAACCAAATGACTGAGGTTTGAATCAGACAAGGGATTATGGCCTATCAGAATAGGGTACCTGGATCCCAAGAATCAGATCCCTGAGTTATCCATGATGGCAATGCAATCTACAAGTGCTGACGACTATTACTTCATATCCATGGAGATCTTGTACACAAGAATTCGAAGGACAAAGCAAGTAAGTTTATTAAATTATTAATCGATGTTCAACCTAGGTGTCCTGTGCTTATGTATCATACTCTAATAGTTATCTTTTCTTTCTCTTGATGATTTCTAGGCGGGCATCCTTCTTTGTTTACGGGAAGGAGCTGGAACTGCTGGACGTTATCATGGGTTTGTTGCAGGTAAAATGAATTTTCTTGAAGGAAAAAAAACTTATGAATGATTGATTATTAACTTGGTGTGATGCTTGCACCGTTAAACGGTTTACGGGGCTCCTCAATGTTCTGTTGTTTGTGTAATAATTTGCCGTGCAGGCATGCTATATCCGCAAAGCCGTTCTTATGAACAAGTATAAATGGGAGACCATGGTAGATGCCGGAGATGCATTAGACTCAGCTCCAAAGGAGTGGTCTAATTGGTTGAGGAGTGCAAGCGCCGTGCACAAGGCGATATGAACGTGTTGACCGAGCAAATTGTGACATTGGGTTGGGCTGCTAAACACATATTATTGAATACGCAAGAACAGATTCGATACAGTTTTGTGGATGACTGAAGATTCTGTATGTCATAGAACCTTGTGTTTTTTTCATTTCTCGGCCGTCGGTGGTTTTTCCTTGGTGGTATGGAGAATTTTGGGGAATACACAGAAACTCAAGTGCAACTATTTTGTAACGGATTGTTCTACTTTCGATTTGTGTGTTCGATTTAG